TCAGTGAAACGTAGTCCCCTATATTTATAATTGTTAAATTTTTTGTTCGTTAACATCATTCCTTTTCTGACTTGTGGCTACAGATTTCAAGGACCTCTACTATCTAGGTCATTTTTGTTTCAAGAGTGTTACTGACAAAATGACGATAACGGATGGATCAAGTCTCTATACATCGAACCATAAATAAAGAAGAATGACTAAGGAAACAAATAGTCGCTGAGGATGGACGACATGACTAGTCCGAAATGTCGAAAGTACCTGTCCTAACTAGTTATCCTGACATGAAAACTCCTGCAGCTACGTCTGAATTAGTCCAGAATGTCCTCAAACTTCGACATGTCTAACCCGTTTCTCTATCTAATCAGTCCAGATTAGTCGGTAGACCAGAAAGAGTATTTCTAAAAGTAAAAATTGTGCCTTTCATTGCTGGTACTCACGTTGAAATTTATGCATAGAAACAGTTACTCTGTTTAATATGTTTTACAATCAGATTGTTTTATACATACAAGATACTGCAACCAAGACAATCGATTGCATGTTCTGAGTATTATCAAGCGAAGTTCTCGTAAAACTACTTTATAAACATAAAAATAACACATGTTTATGTACCGTCATTTTTTTTGTGTGTAGCTACTCTTTACTTTTCACTTTAATTTTCTTACTAGTCTAATAATGTTAGGAACTAAATACACTTACGTGCTATGTAATGTTGGAGTATAGCAAATTTTGTTTTGTGTGCTTGCAATCGATTTTATTCTGTATTTTTTATTGACAAAATTACTTGTTTTTTTTCTCACAAACGTATATTTACATGAATCAATGAAGCATGACTTTTTCATCCATGTGCTCGTCATCACATGCGTTTCGTTTTTCATATATTCTACCTCTTCTTTTTTTTACCGTACCTTGGCGTTTCGTGTTGTTGCAATGATAAAATATACACTGATATTTGCATATGCGTAAATGTGAGGTATGATGAGTCATTAGGCTTTGAACTTTATTCTAATATATATAAATATTATCTATCGTAAAATTTTTTTTGAAATTGATAGTTATAGAAGTAGTGTTGAAAGCTTCAAAATAAATAAATGAAAAATTTTATATTTTTTATTTTATCGTTCGATGTATGAAAAACTCTATTTATCACTCAAACTTCGTTAGATGCATCCGAAGAAAGTATGGCGAATGTGCTTTAAGAAGACTCAGGCATTTTGAGAGGTGGGTGTGAGTGTTTGTATTGCTTATCCCTACACACCCCCATTCACACCCTCAAGTACTTGGTTTAAATACCTAAGATTTTCAATCATAATCAAGCAATAATCAACAATCAATAAATAGAAGTAAAAAATATTGATACAAATCAACAACATCTTTCAATCAGTTATTCAACCAATAATGAATGATTTTAATTTCAATGCAAATCTTTCTTTAATGTTGATATGGTATGTTATATTTGTTTACGACATAATGATCATAATGTTGTATCAAGTTCATTGGAAACACATGAAATTATACTTAAATATTCAAATTTATTTGATTTTGATCAATTATTAATTTCAACTCCAATTGGATCTATAGAAGAAATTCGTGTCAGTGAAGCCTTAAAAACAGGTAAATATTGAGAAAAAAAACAAGAATTTTTTTCATTTGTTTTTTTTTTCTAAAACAATAGCTTATTCAACATATCAATGTTGTTTTATTGAAATGAATGATAAATTCGATTCAACATCAATGATTAATAATGAAAAATGAATATCAGCTGCTAAACTTGTTAATCAATTACATTTTTTTTCCGATTAGATATATACTTAATATGGATGCTACGATAAAAAGTGATGATGAATCATGTATTAGTGTTAAAAGTGCTATACCAATATGTCTATCATATTTATAAACAGTTTGATCCATTTGATTACCTTATTGAAAGTATGTTTAATGTTTGCTTGAGGCTTCTTTTTGTAAAGTTTCACTACAGTAAAATAGATCTATTTTATGATCCAAAATTATTTCTAATGTCGTAACAGTAGGAGGGCTTAGGTAAAGGGGATTGTGGCAGAGTTTAGTTGATGTCGCTTTAATTGGTTAAGGTCTCAAAGTTTTAGTGAAAGTTATCTGATAGATATGACAATTTCACTATTAAATTGTTGAAACATATATATATATTGGAATCTGAAAATTCAAGAACGGAGATTTCTGAATATTGATTCAGCAGCTCTAGTTCTATTCCTACTTTTAATTTTTTTGAAATCAACAAAAGACTAGAACCTTATCAGACTCGAAACGATATCAAGTAGAACACTTTATTAAAGCTCAAAGCCTGCATTGATACATCAGAGATTGAAATTATACAATCACATAACTACCTCAAAAAAAGTTATAAGCCGAAGTTCGAGATATGAAATCAATTGTATTCGCTAAGGAATTTTTCATTAGTCTTTGAAGATGTCTGATTAAATATAGTTTTGTAATTGATACGAAATTTCCTAATGAGAAAAATGAAATTCTCATCTCTATATGACTTGAAATACATTAAAATTTATCGGACATCAAGGTATCTGTTTTTTTTCTTTTCTTTAAGATATTACATATCTTTTATCTTTATGTGAACACGGTGATCTACATTTACGTGGTGCATGTGCAAATTTACTTGTTACATTAATTCAAACAATAATTCATCTTTTAACACTATCATCATTATCAAATTCTTTTATTAATCAATGTTCACTTGTATCAACTGATTCACAAGACAGTTCAAGGTTATATGTCTTAATGATAATAATGCACGTGTTATACATGTTTCATTAAATGCTTTACAAACATTATTACCTTTTTTATTAATTAATAGTCATGCATTTACAATCATAGGAATTGAATTATTAGAAGATTCTATTCAACACAGTACAAGTTTCTATGTTCTTGCTAAAGTAGATAAAAGAAATTTATGATTATAATAATTTTTTTTTTTGTATGTATATAAAATAGGTTAGTCTAGCTCAACTTATAGATGATATTGATTTTCGAATATTAACTTATCTTGAACAACAATTAAAACAACAGTACCCTGATATACGTGTTCGTCAAGCAATTGCTTCGACTTTTGCTAAGTATGTATTTTGTAGAGATATTAACTAGGTAGCTTTTTTTCGAATTTGAATGCATAAGTCGATTTTATTGAATTAAGTTAGTTATTAGCTACTTTTTGATTTTAAGGTTTTGTTGATCACAGTTCATTTTTACCATGTCAATGGATATATAAAATTCATCATTCATTACACGTTTAAGCATCAACTCGAATACAAATTGTTTGTTATTTTTGTCTTTTATATAGGTTGGATGTTTAGAAGATATTTATGTTCTTTCAAATGTTTTTAGACCAACAACAATTCGACCAATTTTTTCATAATCAATATGATGAACTTCGTTTATTTATAATTTTTTTTTAAACATCCCTTTATATTACATGATCTTAATAATTTAATCTTTTCAAGTAAAGAGAAAAAAAAATATTTATTATGTTTTTTTTTGAATTCTTTCTTTTTATTTGAAGATTTATCAAATCTCAACAAATGAAAAAATGTTTTGAAAGTAGCACAAATGATTCAAGTAATTCGAAAAATGAACTATTTTATTATCGTTCTCGAACTATTGCAAAAATATTCACAATCATCATTCTTTTGGACAGAATATAGTTGATATTACAGTTTTCACAGAAGAAAGGAGTTTCAAAGTTTTATATTTGAATGATATATGATAAAAAAGTTAATCGTACACAATTAGGTGCTTTTGGAAATAATCCGTCAAATGATGAAATTATTTGAATTAATACGCTCATCATATCAAATAGATAAAAGTTTATTAAATTCATCTGAAAATGATCGTTTTGAACAATTATTTTTAACAACATTATTGTCTATGAAATCAGTTTGAAGTCTTATTTCTACACAAGAGGTAACGTCTTTTAAATAGTAAACATTTATTGTAAAAAAAATTTCAATTATTAATCTTTTCTATTCATTGGTTAAGCTAAAACTTTTAAGATGTTGTAATGGATCTGAAACTTGTCTACAGATAACACTTTTGATGAAAATCTTATAATTAAGGTTTCTGGTAGGGTCTTTCCTAGAGAAGGAAAATTTCAATATAAGAATGTCATAGTAACAGAAAAACTGATTTTACGAATATCGATGATCTTAACGAGAGTAGTTTTGTTGTGAAAGTGTCAGATCTTTTGATTCGGTTCTATCTTGAAATTCGAATATTAAATCATTTAGTTTACGTGAGCGATCTGCAAGACACACTATCAATTCGAAATTTGAAAATGATTTTTTCTGTTAACACAACATTCATTTAAAAATATTCTTTTAATTTAGTTTTTATTAAATCTTCAAATGTTTCTTCACAAGTATCATTAAATAATTCTTTAACTTATATTTATACAATAAGTATTCGACCATCGATAATTTATTTTATTTGGTTCATGTTATGCATCAAGTATAAATAGTGCAATACGACAGTAAAATGAACAAAAAAAACGAATTTGATCTATTCTGTTTTTTTTTTGTTTTCTATTTTAGTTTTTTTTTAACTAAAAAATTAGTCGTAAAAAATATATTAATACAAATGAAAGTAATTTTCAAGCTGCTGTACTCGATTTACTTGTTCAATTACTTTTAATTCGTGTTAATTATAGTTAATTAGAAGCTGATGAAATTCGTTGCATTTCTAATCGTTTCGTTTATTTTTAAATAGCATTTTATTTATTGTATTGCTGAATTTCTTGTTATGTTATCACATGATACATTTCATTCAAAACAATTTATTAAAGTAGAAGATTTAATAAAACATTATGATTCATTATTAGCAAGTAGACATGAGCCTGAAACACATGGTAGGAAGCAATAAAAAACATTTTCGAGAAAAAGAAATTATCGTTAAAATTCTTTATTTAGCTTTGGCAGTATGAGAAGCAGTTTTATATGATTTTTTTTCTTGTTCGAGTTATGCGAATAATTAAAATTTCTAAAAAGTTTTATTAAATGAGAGTGAACAAAAAGTGTCTTTCTATAAAGTCTCAAATATCTTAGAAACTTGAGAGGGTGTGAGTGTGGGTGTGTAGATGTAATTTTTCTCCTCGATTGAACCCACACCCACACTTCAACGAATTGATGATCCGAAAATAATCATCTTGTTGTTATGTATTTGACTTTGAAGGAAAACTAGGCGTCTTAATTATTATAAATACAAGTATCTTTTCATATCATGTGTATGTACTGAAAAAATAATAATAGAATTTATATTGTTATAGGCTTTACGATTGTTCACAGTTATTGTTAATAGTGTTCAAATTGAAGATGATAAATGGGAACGTCTTTCACGACAAATTGTCGATTTACTTCTTACTCATTTACAATCTCAGGTTATTTTTTGTTCAAATAGGATCAATCACTTTTGGATATTTATTCCACACAATTAACACTATTTGATGTTGTCTCATCAGTTGCATTACGATCAATTGATCCATTTGTTATTGCTTTTCGAGCATTAGTAAATAGAAATGTTCGTTGTTTTTATTTATAAAATTTTTCTGTAGTTCAAAATTTTTTTTAGAATGTCAATTGTCAATCTACAAATCGATAGTTAATGAATGTAAATATAATACTTCGATATCTTGTACAAAATTTAACTGAAGATGCTATATTAACACAATAGAATGATGTTTTATTATCAGTTAATGGAACACGAGATGAAACTTTTAGTGCGTAAGTATTCGAAATGATTTTATTTATAATTTAAAAACTATTATTCTCGTTTTTGTTTTCAGAGCTCTTCTTCGTGTTTTACATGACATAATATTATGAATTTTAACTAATACTCGACAATTACGTGGTCAAATTAATATGTCATTAGTTTCTCTTGCATCTGATTATCTTTATGTACATATCACCCATTAATTTGAAGATAAAACTTTTTTACAATTCATTAATTACTAATGAGCTAGCGAAATACATTTGACTTTAAAATTCCTATGCTTATATAAGATCTATGATTTTATTTTAGTTAAACAAATTTCGAACAATTGTAAATGATTTTCATCAATTATGAATTCATGATGAAACTGTACATTGTCTTGAGACATTTTCATTTTTAACTATTTTAAATGAATGTTTTAAATTATTATGATCATTATTTTATATCTCATTATTATTACAATGGACACATATTCTGAATATACTTGATTATATACAAGAAGCATGGTGGTCACCAATATTAACACCATCATCATCAAGAATACATTTATCTAATAAGTGGTCAATTACAATCTTATTGTGATTTAATATATCATCATAAATTATATGTTGAACTTTTTACATCAATAACAACACATTATCAATTATTATTATTATTTTTTATTTGATCTTATACATCATACATCAGTTGGAAGCCATTTATTCGTTTCTGAAGGAATACATTTATATGAAAGTGGTCTTATATTAGTTTTATTAATTGAACAATTTCTTCCATTACCATTAAATAAACAATTATTACCTAAATATATACCATAAATTTTACAAATATTATCAATAACAGCATCAATCGATATTATTAAAGAAGATTTTAATAATCTTAATTGTCCTATGGATATAACAAGAAAAATTTATGAACAAATGCTTAAAAATATAACTTATAAAAAAATGATTACCATTTATGATGTCACCGGTATATTTTAGTTTAATTTATCGAAATAGATAAATATATATGTATAATAAAAATTTTAATCCAATTAAAAGAAATGTTTTTGTTTTTACTTTGACATTGTTTATGTGCTAGTAATAGATGAGACTTTTGAATAATTCAAAATTTCGAAAAATATTTTGAAATAGAAAATATGCAGAATTTCAGGTAATACAAATCGTAAAGGAAAGCATTTAAGCTACATTAGTACAATGACCGAATAGTTCCTCTCAAATCTTATAGATCAAATTCTCAGTCGTGCTATTTGTACTGTTACAATTAAAGAAAACGACGTCTTTCTAATATTATATTTTGAAATAAATTGCATTCGAAAATTTCGATAAACTTTCTATAAGTTTTAACTCGCGAACTCCGAAAACGTATTGGATTTTTTCCACAGCATTAAATTTTTAGGATGATTCTTATAGTAAATGAAAATTGATTTGAGAAAATAAGAAACAATATAAATCTGTTCTTTGTTTGTTTTCCTAGGATTTTGTATAGTTATATCAAATGAAACAAATTAAAATGACATTGAAACAACACCTAATACAATTTATGAAAAAAGTCTTTTATCATGCTTCTAA